AAAACATAACGTGAGCTTTTCTTTTCGGGAATACTGCAAAACTAGCAACTGAACCCTGCTGCTCGCAAGTGTAACTATTTGAAACAGCCAGTGCAGACCTTATCTAAGCAATGTGTAATCAAACTAAATAATAGTCTTCACTGTCATTAAGAATAAGAATAGCAATAGGATTGTCACCACGGGGTTCCGTACAGCAGGTGAAAGTGGAGCTGGCTTCTCCTTCTGCCCCCACTGCCCGCAGCCTCCCTAGCAGCCCCCTCGCAGCTGCAACAGTAGGTGAGTGGGCGCGGCGTGCGCAGCGTACTGGGATGGCTGGATTGGCTCGGCGGGGCTCGGCAGGGCTCGGCAGGCGCACAGCGGGTCCTCCGCGCCTGGCCCCGCCCCGCCCATCTCCTCCCGACCACACCCTCCAGCGGCCCCGCCTCCCCCCCCCGCCCCTACCACGCCCCACGTGCTCCCCCTTCCCCGACCACGCCCTCTCCTGTCCCGCCCCGTCCGCCTCTCCCGGCTCCGCCCACCCGGCGGAAGCCTGTTAGGGTCTTGGTCCTGCAGGAGGGTGGGCCCAGGTGGGCCCAGCCCAGCCCCAGGCGAATTGATGGCCTCAGAGGTTTGCAGTCTGTCTCTGGGGCTTCTTGTCAGACCTAGCCAGGTGGTTAGAGTGGCCAAGACTTCGTTCTTGGGAAAACCGTGATTTCACGTGACCTCTGGCGAAAAAGGAAGGGAAGACGGAAAAAACGTGCTGGTTTGAAAAACTGCCGATTGATGATGTAAAGGGTAGAAGTGGGAGTCCAAATCTTCACAAGCATCCTATCTGATGCTACAGAAGGAAATTAACCGCAGCAGGCGGTTAAAAAAAAAAAAAAGTAAAATGAAGGTGGAAGTCGCACACTTGTGTGCAGCTGCCACTTGGGAATAAAGGCCTGTTTGTGAAGGTCCGGAGTGTTTCCTTCCAGCTGTCAACAGAAAGGTAGCATGCAAGGCACATTCTTGTATCACAATCTATGCATGTGGGTCCGTTTTCTGGCACCCATTCTAAATTGTGCCAAGTGGAGAGCGATCCGGGGATATGTCATATTAAAGCCCGTCCTAGTTTGTATTAAATCGTTATAGTCCAATTTATGGAGGTTGTAATGTAAAACAAGTCATTACTAGAGAAAGAAAAGACGTGTGGCTCTTCCTTCAGATGGAGGTCTTCTCTATCTTTTGAGCAAGCTCTTTGCCAAATTAAAACTTTAGGAATAGGGGGCGGGGGAAGCATTTCTACTCTTCTGGAAAATCAGTATTTACTAGCTGAAATAACTGAAGACTGACGTTTTTGGTAACATGGGAAATTTTAGAATGGTCTCAGATAGTTACAGTATTAAAAACAAAACTTAAAGCCCCTATTCTAAATTCACCAGAGCAGGAGCTCTGATGATTGAGTGGTAAAGAGTTGTTCTGCCAACTCTAAAGACAAGCAGAGGTTCGAATCCACTAGCTGCTCTAAGACAGAAAGTTGAGCAAAATCTGGCTGAGTGATTAAACTGCCTTCGAAAACCAGCTGGAAGGCCAGTTGATGGTACATAACAAAAACTACTGCCTTGGGGTCAATTCTGACTCGCAGTGACTCTAAGCCTAAACTTTACCTGGATAATTTCTAAAAAATTTAAATAATTTTCTTTTTCTCTGGTTTTCTTATAGAGCCTTCTGCTTGTACTTAGTAAACTTTAGAAAGATTTCCGTAAAATAGAATCTAGACTATAAATAATTCCTTTTCAGCAACAATTCAAACTTTTTTTAATTCTCTAAGCCCATAGTTTTGAGAAAAGCACTTACTATTAATTAAAATGCAGAAGCAGTTACCACTTCTTCGAAGACCCTTACCTCCAAAACCCCCTAAACTGCCATTTTTTAAGAAGAAAGTCCACAAAGGTATTTGTACTGATCATTTGTATTAAATTTGTGTTGTTCATAGAAAAGACTTTATCTGTACACAGAATCACAATTTCAAATACTCACTAGTAATCATTAACTTACAAATCTATGAACATCCAACTCAGTTATACAAGCATCACTGAGCACAGCATTAGACTGTAGTAAGTAAAACAGATTCAGTCCTTCCAGGCGAATCTGGGTAGCCTCAGATTTCTCTCTAGCATGCGTCCTTGATTCTGCTTTGGGTGCTTCATGTATCTAAGTTTCATCCATTTCCTACTTTTGTTGTTGTTCTTTTTATGTGCTGTCCAGTCAGAATCAACTCCTAGCTAGCTTTCTAGCAGGTTTCCAGAGAGTGTGAGTCGCATTTTATCCATCTTTTTCAAACCACCTGCCTTTAGGTTGGCAGCGTAGATCTTTACCCGTGAGAACACTACATCTTCCTGTGTGGTGCAGAAAGGGTGAATAGATTTAGCTGCTAAGGGAGAGGTTGGAGGCTTGAATCTACAGTGATGCCTGGTGATCTGACATCCGAAGATTCAATCATTGAAAACTCTATGGTGTACACACAGTTCTACTCTAACACACAGTGGATCATTGTGGGTCAAAATCAGCTCATCAGTAATTGCTTTTGCTTACTTGTACCATCCTTGGGGGAAAACAGCATTGGGAAGGCCAGTATGTTTTTGCTTTTCTGCAAGTATCAGTTGAAGAAGCAGGGGAAGGGAATTGGTGAGTTGCTCTTATTTCCTTGTGAGAAATACTCCTGCATTCCATCAACTCTGTGAAAGTCCCTCTGACTTGTGCTTTCCTGCACAAGCCTTGTACTTTATCATCCCTGTTGTGAGTGGAACAGGGAGATGAATAGTAATTCAAAAGCTCTCATGGGGCGGGGCGGGGAGGAGGGGGAACCTCTTTCTGAGGATTCCCATTTCATAACAAACAAACAAAACCCCAGTAAGTCAACAATGAAAACCAGTTGCCCTGGAGTCAGTCCCAACAATGGTGACATATGTATTCTTCAGAGTAGATTTGCTCAGATGGTTTTCTTTTTCTTTTTTTTTTTAATTAATATTTTAATGAAAGTTTCTAGAGAACTTGGATTTCCACTCATTCATTGTTGTACATTTTCCTCCCTGCCCCCCCCCAACTTTGCTTTTCTCTTTGAAAAAAAGTTCTTTCGTTGTTGTACACCACCACCACCACCCCTCATCCAGTCCTTTTTATTATGCATTTTCTTATTCTGGTCTGTTGTCACGCAATCTGTGACCTGCCAGATAGGAGAGCTTTCTTTCCAGGCATCACTAGGTGGGTTTGAACCAACACCACTTTCACTTAATAGCAAGCTTTCAATCAAATCAATTTCTAGTTATCTCTTCTTTGTGAACAACTGCAGGGTGATGGATTAAGAGTTTAAGACATTGCTTTGGCCGTCTCTTTGCAAGTTCTGCCTTGCTGAATCTGTCACCTTGCTAGAATGGAGAGATAGTCACCATTTATTTTATTAATCAAGACAACAGAAGAAGTGTCATTTAGCATTCTCTTGCTAAGGAGAGAGACAGCATGCTTGATAGAATGAGGTACCTAAAAACAAAGGTGCACTGCATGTTCTGCATTTATAAAAGAAAAGACTATTATTCATAGAACCTAATAGAGTCTAATACAAGACTAACACAAGACCAATATTTACTCTTATTCACAGAGTCAGAGTGTCATGTTCAAAATATCCAATGGTCTAACGCCCAAAGAGACATAAAAGAAAAGAAAGGTAAACTTCCCCCCACCCCCTGCAAGTTTCAAATAAAGGAGAATAATGGCACAAGGTAGAGAGGAAACATTTATTGAAATAACTTTTAAACCTCTCCATATCCCCATAATTTTAGTGACATTGGCTCAAAAATATCTATCTATATTTTTTCTTCAATGATTCCCCTCTGCCAAGAGTAGTTACTTGCCCTTTCTAAATCTAATAGAACTTAGTTGTTTCACTTTTTCTATTGTTGGCTCAAACTTGATTCCAGTTAGTTCAACCAGTTCCTGATAAACTAGGTGAGTGAGTATATACAGAAACCTCAATGAGAGATGGGTGAGTGGGTAAAGGAAAGCTTTGACTACCAACACGGAAATAAAATCCGAAATTTAGTTATTTTTTCTTTTTCTTTTTCTTGTTTAGACAAGACCATTAAAACTAAGCCACAAGATGCACTGGTCACTCAGAAAGAAACTGTTTCATTTAAAGAAGATAGAGTTATTACTGCTGATACTGCTTCAAGATCTCCGTCACAAGCCCAAATCCTCTTTGTTGATTTACATAAACAAGAAAAAGTGGCGCATCTAGTGCCTGTTCTTCCAACACCTGAAATGTATCCTCAGGTTCATGAAGACGTATTTTTCCCAAGTTTTCCAACTGCGGCAGAAGTTTCTGGGAAAGAAATAAGCCAAATGGAAAGCTTAAGAAAATCAGATAAACTGACACCCAAATTGAAAGAATTTTCTGTAAGTCAAATGGAAAACTTAAGAAAATCAGAGACACCGACACTCAAATTGAAAGAGTTTTCTTTTGAAAAAAAACTTGGAGACACCTCAATTCTTTCTTCAGATTTCTCTAAGACTTTGAGTTCATCTTACCTACCTGAAACTAACAGAACTGAAGATGTGCTCAATAAATATCCACTAAATACTGTGGAGTATCCTTCTGAGCTCCCTCTGGCAGCCTTAAGCTCAGCGAAGCAAAGCACTCTCTCTAGCGCTGTAGATGCTAAATTAGACAGACAATGGCTTGACCTCATTCAGCAAAATTCTCCTGCACTTATGTATATTAATGATTTTCCTACTCCTGTCTACATCCCAGAACAATTTCCACAAAGAAAATATAAAATACAGGCTTATATAGGTAAATAAATTTGAACATGGTCTTTAATGATTAGGTCAAGTACAGCAAAGTGTATTCTCTTTGTGTTTGCGGCTAGGAAGGTGGGATTGTTTCTTGCTTTTATATCTAATGCATGGGTCAGAGGATTATAATAGAAGTTTTGACCTTGCAGAGCTACCAAAGCCAGACTGGGGACTCTATTGTGATTGTGGCCATGAGGAACCAGACAGTAAGTTTCAAAAAGCAGGAGATCAAATTAAAAGAAATGGTGACACAGAAGAGGTATTCAAAAGGTAATATAGATGAGCAAAAGAGAATCAGCAGTAGAAGAATGTCAGAGCTAATAGGCATCTTCATGGGCCTATACTCATGGATACTCCCTACTCATTAACAGATAAACAACTATAATAGAACCAAAGCACTCTCCACTTAAATTTTCACAAATATCCAAAAGGTTTTTTACCATTTTTTCCCTTTTTTTTTTATAGACCACGTTATGGCAGAAAATGAATATGAGGAAGGTTACTCAAAGCTAAGATCATCAAATATATCTCAAGGTAAATACTGTTTATAATACTATTTTAGAGACTGTATATAAGTTTATTGTTCTATAAAAGTATTTATGATAGTATGTGACATGTGTGGCATTCACACATATGACCTACTTCATTGCTAGTTTCTTTCTTTCCTGTCTTTGTGATGGGCTTTTGCTTTCTTCATGGATGATATGTTTGCTGTTATTCCACAACTCATCTTGTCTTTGTTCATTAGCATTCAGGGTATCAAATCTATTCTTGAGGAGGTTTATAAACTTAGTTGTGATAGACTCAAAGATGTATTTCATTCTTGAGAACTTGTTGTCATTTTCTTCAGCTTCAATTTGAACTTGCATATGAGTAAGTGAAGGTCTGTTCACTGTCGGCCCCTAGCCTTATTTTGACTGCAGATGTTGAGTTTTGTAATGGACTTTTTCCATAAATGTGGTTAATCTGACTCCTGTGTAGTACATCAGGTGAAGTCCCTGTATGTAGCTGGTAATTACAGTGTTTTTTTAAAAGTAATAACAATAAATAAATGTACAAAATTCTTATTTCCCAGGGTTTTTTTTACTGGAAAACGTGCTGAGTTAAATAAGTCACAAACAGACAAATGCAGTACAAAACTCCTATTATAAAAAGTTGAAGGAGGACTTACACACAGAGGGAAGAAATGATACTTTGATGATGTCTTTGTTATTTACTGCTATTCCAATTCAGACACAACAAATGGATGGCTTCAACAAATAGAAACATACTCTCTTACAGTTTAGAAGACTAGAAATCCAAGTTCAGGATACCAGCTCTACGGAAAGGCACTCGGTCTTTCCATCAGTTGTGGAGGAACACCCTTGTTCCTTCTACATCTGTAGAGCTAACATCCCTTTTAGACCTCAGTGTTCTGGTCTTCCCCAGTGTCAAGGTTTTTCCTTACACAAAAGCATCAGTCCAAACAAGCTGCACTTCAATACTAGCAATTATTTTTAAGAATCCCCTTCTTCGTTCCCTTTTCTTGGTTTTTATCTCTAAAACAATAAGACCTTTTACAAGTTGTCACGTAGGGAAATGAGGGCTGTGACAGGATTAGGGAGTGTTGTATTTTTAATTCTTCTTCAAATATTTGGTTTAACAGAACATGGGGACATCATTATTTGACTTCTGCATGATATTATTGTTGTTATTATAATTGTTGCTATGTACCATCAAGTTGTTCCAACTCATAGGTAGTGGGTCTTCAGAGGCTATGAACTACACGGAAGGAGATTTGTCCTCTTCTGTGGAGCAGCTGGTGAATTCAAACCACCTCACTTTGGGTTGGCAACACAATCACCTACTTATTAGGCCACCCAAGCTCCTATTATATAATTATATATTTATTTGGAGGAAACACAGTTCAATCTATGACAAATGGTTATTAGATATGGAAGGGATGGGGAAGCAAGTAAAAATTAGTAAATAGTTAATGTAGTTGTTGTTACATGCCTTCGAGTTGCCTGCGACTCATAGCGGCCCTATGTACAACAGCCTTAAACCTTGCTCTAACCTGTGTCAATCTTATTGTCTATCACATACATACCCCCATTACCCCAGTCACTGAATCAATCCTTCTCACCCAAGGTTTTCCTCTCTTGCACTGTCCCTCTGTCCTCCCAAGCATAACATCACTCTCCAAGGACTGGTCCCTCCTTGCAACATGTCCATAGTAGGTCAGATGAAGTTTCCCAATCCTTGCCTCCAAGGAACAGCCTGGTTTCAACCTCTCCAGGATGAATCTGTTTGTTCTTTTAGCATTCCATGGTATATTCAATACTCTTCTCCAGCACCACAGCTTAAAGGTATCAATTCTCTGTCTACCATCCCCAGTCATTGTCCAGGTTTCTGATGCATAGCAAGTAATTGCAAAGACTATGGGCTGGCCAAGCATGACTGAGTTTCCAGACTGATATCGTTGCTCTTCAGTACTTTGGAGAGGTCTCTAACAGCAGACTTCCTCAATGTAATTTGTCTTTTAATTTCCTGACTGTTGATACAAAGAGTGTTGATTGTGGAGCAAAGCAAATGAAAGCTCTTAACAGACACATATTAAGATTGGTGAAGGAAAGGGCAGTAGACAATAAGGTGCTAATGAGCATAATAACATAAAAGAAAGAAGAAGACTCTGAGAGGAACATAAGAAATACAGTCCACAGCAGATACATAAGCAGACAGGCAAGATGATATATGAATAGGTGAAGAACACTACATCTATAATCATTTTTAGATTTGGCAGATGATATTTCATGTATGCTGCAAATGCATCCATGCTTGCAGGAGATCCAGCAGTTCTGGAGCTTTGGGACTATGGCTTTCAAGCAGCCATATAATGTGCAACAATTGGTCTCTCCTTGCGCAAAGTAAAGAAAAAGTTAGAAAAGCATTGATGTACTGAAACAATTAGTCAAAGACAAGTGGGCCACATAATTTCAATTTTCATCCTACTCTCCTTCTGAGATTAGAAAAACTAGGTGGTGCCTGGCTACCTCTCTAGCCACTCAAAAGGGGTTCACAATCCAAGATCCAGGATAGAATGGGAGAAAACATGAAGCAAAACTTTAATAATAGTAATAATAATAATAATAAAGGCCAGGCTTACTTACTGGTCTAATAGAGACTGGTGGAACCCCTGATACTATTGTCCTTAGTCACCCTTCAAACTAGGAAATAAACTCATTTCCATGGCTAAACTTTAATCCAAACGATGATGTGGTTAAATGTTGTCTAGTCAACTTCAACTCCTAGAGACCAAATGAACAACAGAGCTGAACCTTGTTCTACCCTGAGCCATGCTCGTGATTTTTGAACTGCTCAAGTACATTTTTAAAGTCACTGTGTCAATTCATTTTGTTGAGGGTCTTCCTCATTCTTCAATCCTTCACCTTTCTCAGCATGGTATCTTTTTATCACAGACTGATCCCTCCTAATAGCCTGCCCATAGGATGTGAGATACAGTCTTTACCTTGCCTTTAAAGAGCACCCTGGTGTACTTCCTCAAAAACAAACCTGTTTGCTCATTTGGCAGTCCTTGGGATATTCAGTTCTCTTTGCCAATACTGCAATTCAAACGCATTGATTCTTCTTCTGTTATCCTTCCAGAAGCATAAGAAGCAATTGAAAAGACCATAGCTTGCTGCAGGCAGTCTGTCTTTATTTAACTTGAGATTATTGCTCTTTAGCACTTTGGGGAGGTCCTTGACAGTAGATTTTCCCAAAGCAACCAATCTTTTGATTTTTTTTTGACTGTTGCTATCAAGAGTATTGATTGTAGATCCATGAAAATTAAATCACTGACAATTTGAATCTTTTCCCCATCTTTCATGATGACGCACATTGGTGTAGTGGTGAGGCTTTTTGTTTTCTTGATGCTGAGATGTAATCTGTTTTAAAGACTGTGGTCTTTGATTATCTGTAGCAAGTGTTTCAAATCCTCTTAATTTTCTGCAGGCAAAGTTGTGTTATCTGTATAATGCTGGTTGTTGATACATCTTTCAATTCTAATGCCACATTCTTCTTCATAGACTCCAGCTTCTTGGAGTATTTGCTCAGCACAGAGATTTGATAGGTATGGAGAAAAGATATAACCCTGGCACACACCTTTCCTGATTTAAGGCCTTGCAGTGTTCCTTATTTTATTTGGACAACTGCCTCTTGGTCTACATATAGGTTTCACATAAACAAAATTACTCGTGCTAGGATTCTCATTATTTTAAATATTAGCCATAATTTTTCATGATCCACACAGTCAAATTATTTTTGCATAATAAAACACAATTAGACATTCTTCTGGTCTTCTTTGCTTTCCGCCAAGATCCATCTTACATTGTTGTTGTTGTTGTTGTTATGTGCCATCGAGTC